GACAACCAAGGACGCACCGTCCTCCCCCGGGGGAGCGAGAATATACCCGATTCGGATCAAGTAATTTTGGGCAACACAATTAAGAACTTGGTACTCTTGTTGCCCTCCGAGTTCGTAGCCAATTTCTCAAGTAACCTTCGTGTGTCAGGGCCACCACACAACAGAATGCGGGCTTGCACACACACGCCCCACCCGTAAGGTGCCATAGCCCCTAGGAGGATGTAGCCCACCGGGAAAAGAAAACCGGTCAGAGTATACTCCGGCATGTGTGGGGCAAGGAGAGGGTAATTCCACTCACCCTCTTGGCCTGCCAGCAGGTCACGTCGCGGGCGGGACAATGCTGTGAAGATGTCTCCGTACCCGTCACTCGACCCGTCAGGAAGGAACCGACCCCCAGCAGCCCAGAGGCTCTGGCGCCGTGCCCGAGGCCCCCGTGGGGTAGGCCGCAAACGACTGGCGCTCATGCGCTGCAAGGGTTGCCTACCCGCACGGCGCGCTCTCTGCCGGCGGTGGGTAGGAGGGCCGACCCCAGCTCGTCACACGTCTCCCCGCCGCCGCCACCGCCGGCCCGTCACTCGCAGCTGGCGGCGCCGTCACTCAGCGCGTCACTCTGCATGTCACACGCTGTCGGGGCCGTTATTACCGGCTGTCGGTGTGACGTCACGGCGGCGGCGAGTGCTCGCGCGCCGGGACGGCGGCGTCGGCGGCGGCTTGTAAATCGGCGAGGTGCTTCCCGCTCCCCCGGGACCGCGCCGTCGTAATTTGTAGGCTGCCGCCGCCAGGTGGGCCCTGGGCGGCCAGGTGCCCAGGTGCAGCGGCGAAGTACGGGGAATAAATCCTGTGCGCTTAACGGCGGTGGGGCGGGAAAGACGGGACAGCGGTGCAGCCGCACAGTCACTGTGAGAGATGGCGGTGTTTGAACCCTCCTCCCCGCAGTCGCGGCTTGAGTAGCGAGCCGCCGAGCGGGCGTTTCGCACGGCGTCGGCGTCACTTTAGGGATCCGTTTCATATGCACTTATCGAGAGCGACATGACCGTCCAGATGGCCGTCGAGGCGTCCGCCGCGAGCACCATCGCCATCGTGACGAGCACTAACATACCCCCCTCCCCTTTCCTACCCGTCTGGTCTTTTTCCTCGAAGTAAAGGTTGCTGAACCATAGCGTTCAACACCCAGCAAAATTTATAGTACCCAGGGTTCGAGAATTACCGATAATTGTGGTTCAAAGTAAAAAACCTGGGTAAATTTCGGTAAATTACTGTTTTTTTGAGTAATTTACTAAAAACAGCTCAATTTAAAGAAAAACGCAATTTTAAACATTTTTAAGGGTACTTGTACGTTTTCCCGATTACGATATAGTAATTAAAGCACCTGCTTCAGTAGCACCACTGACATAGACGGACTGAATAGAAAGTGAAAAGATTTTAACGAGGGAGAACAGATACTTTGCTCCTCACCACCCGATAAAGAACCTTTTAAAATATTTGCCGCGTTTTGAAAGCATACGTAGTGCATCCTTGCGTACACCAGTGGAGTCTTACGTCTAGCCTCGCTGTAGCCACATGAAGTTTGAATGTCTGCCTCTGTGCACAATTACGAAAAGAACTTGAAATGTATGTAATTGTCTGCATAGTTCACAAAGCATTGAAGCCGAAAACCTGCACAAATTGCAAAGCTTCAAGCAAAATAGATCTTGGATATAAATTTGTGCACTGGAAATATGACAACGTTGCAAGTCAATCCATTAAAATTTAGTGGCCTTACGGCCTGTATGAGAAGAACAGCCGCGTCTATGCGTGCATCCGGTAAAAAAGTAAAATATATGAGCAATAAAAGTCTGATTTCTTACAAATCTTGAAGTAAATTACTTTGAGGGAAAGTAATTTACCGTAATTTACTAGTTTTTTACTCAAAATTTCTCGAAATTTACTTTGCTCTCGAACCCTAATAGTACCGCAGATATTTTGGTAGGTTTCTGCGGATGTGCCCAAAGTTTTGCGTTTTGTTTTGGGATTTAGTCTAACTTGTCATTTGTCCAATGAAGTACGTACAACATGACGTGTTCGATGTCCTATCCGACTGTGCAATAAAGCATTCTGGTAAAGCTGAAATGCAGAAGAATACGGGGAAGAAGAAAACGGAAGTCACCATGTTAAAGCATAGCGATTTCCGTTTTCTTCTTCCCCGCATTCTTCTGCATTTCAGCTTTACCGGAATGCTTTATTCTATCTCGTATCCTGCTGCTAATATCGTTTCGAGTACTATGCAGGCTCTACCGTCTCATTGCAGCTCGGGCTGCTCGCCCGCCCCGCCCGGCCCTGCCCCGCCCCGCCTAGCGGCGCCGGCTCATCCCCTGAGCTGTGGCTGCGCTGAATAAGCAGCAAGCATACGTGTGGCGGGGCGGGGCGGGGCGGCACCCTGCGCATGACAACAGCTGATAACGACACGCCATCACGGCAGCAACAGAAGCAGCAGCGATGTTGGCGGGGCGGGGCGGGACAAGAGCGTGCGCGCCATGCTGCTGCCGCTGCTATGGCTTGTGTTGCATTCCCCCCGGTGGGCCGCCACCACCACCCCGCCGGCGCCTCACCCCGCCCCGCCGAACACAGCTACCGTGTGGCGTGGCAAGGAGGTGAGGCGGCGTGAGGGGCGGGGGCGGGCGGCGGGGCGCCCGTCCCGACCCCGGCCCTGAGCAACTTGATAGCGCGTATCTGCCACTCCTGGCGCGCGCCCAAGCCCATCGCACCCTCCAATATCCACTCTCCTCTCCGCCCCCTCCTTCCCTCAATCTTGAACCACCGCCTTTACTAGGAAACATGCCCCCCCCCCCTTGCTCCGATTCGTAGAACTCTGCGCTGCTCTTCACCTTATTCTCTGCTGCCATCCCTGAAGTAGCCGGGCCGGGCGCGCGGGCTGTAGCGACAGTGAACCTGAGCTTCATAGAAAGGCAAGGCCGGGCGAGGCTCACCACGGCCACAACCGTCGCCCCCTGCCACGCACCGCCCATAGGAACACGAACACAACGTTCCGCGGAACGAATCGACTAACCTGAGGATATCTTTAGAATCCCGTCCCGAAAAAATACCACATAATGGAATCCGCGCGCCCACAAAAATACCACACTCGCAAACACTCTCTCTCAACCACCGGGGATAATAAAAGTCGTGTTTTAGCCCAAGTTATGGCTGTCGCGGAACACCGCCGACAGGCGGGCCGTGTGTCCGAGAGGAGGACCAGAGCGATGGCGATGACGGGGGATGGGGGGCCACCCCCCACCCCACCCCCTTGCCTCTTCCTCTCCACTCCACTCGGACGATGTCTCTTCTCCTCTGCGCTTATAATCACCAAGGTCAGGTCCCTAGTCGTCATGCTATAAATGAATCGAATGGGAAGCTCTATACGAGGGTCACAAGTTCTGCCGTCCCCAGGCCACTCTTTACGACCTCCTCGCCAGAGCCCCGCCCCGCCCCGCCACGCCCTGCTCCATCTCGCTGCGCACCCTTCTAACTTTCCCTTCGTGCGATCCGTTCCGGGCAGAGGGAAGAATAAAGTAGGCAAACGCACCTCGCTCGTTCAACAATTTTGTTTTGTTTTGTGTTTTACCCTTTTTTTTTTTGTTATTTGACGAAACTTTTATTTTCGAGCGAGCGACGCCAGTTCGCCTCTTGTAAAGCTCTGCTAAAGGCCTGATTGTTTAGCGCCAACCGCCATGTCGACCTTGCCTGCCGCGAGCAACACCGTACCGTAGAACACGGAGCCGCACACCCCCCGCGTGCGTTTGTTGCTTTTGCTTCCCGACAACCCCCCTGCGGGTCCTGCTTGCGCGTCCTGCCCCCTGCTGGTCCTGGGGGTCCTGCTGGACTGGTTGTTGCCGTGGAGCGGGGCGGGGAAGCGCGGGGGGCTTTTCGGGGGTAGTGGGGCGGCGCTTCCGCTCGTCTCCCGCCTGATCCCTCCGGAGCGTGTGCACCGACCGCATGCCAAATTAAAATCTGGAGCGAGTTGTTATGAAAGCTCACAGGAGGCCCCCCTCCCAGCCCCACACCGG